ATGGGGCGGCCGCAATTGCATGGGGGGTGGGGGGGAGGGGGGCACAAAAACTGATAGAGACTGATTTCGGCTTCAATTGAGAATTTGTTCGAATTTTGCAGGAGGGTGGGAGGTCGGGCGAATATAGTTCCAAAGGGGGCACCGCTGGGGGTAGACTGCGTATGGGCAGACTGACTGGCTTTGTTCTCTCAATGAAAAATTGAATTGACTTAATGCATTCTGACACATATTTTGGTACAAAAATGTTTAAAAATCATATTTTTAAATTTGTTTAATCGGGGAGTGGGGGTAAACTTCGGGGTGCAAACCATCTTACTTAGAGGCAACCCTAAGACCCCAACTGGCGCCGCCACTGGGACCACGTACCACTCGGTCTCAGAAAAGCTGGAATTTTGCAGGGGAATCAGAATCAGAATATATATGTCCAAAAATAACCTCCCAAAAACTCATATCTTTATCTCATCATTACTAAACTAATACATTTTCCTACCGCGACAAAAACCTATGTTGGCACTTGTTCATTTTTTTCTATCAAAAGACAACCATGTTTTGTTCTTCGTGCCCTCGGGACAATGTTCCGCACGCCCCCACCCCCACCTCATCACGGACTTTAAAAGCATGAATTTTTCATCCACTTTTATTTAATTATTCTCTGCCCCCAGATTTGCCAGGAACTATCCCCTTTTATCCCTGTTAATATTTAGGAATAACGTATTGTTTTAATTAGTTAAGTTATATTCAATACTAAATGCAGTTTAAAAACTAATAATTTCACGACATTGTGATACAGTGATACAGATATATTATGCTTATTGCTGTTTTTGTTGGCCCACTAAACATTGATGAACATTGTGTGATCATCTTTAAGAATATAAATCGAAATATATTAGGTTTTGTGTATCTTGTTTTTTCGGCCGAAAACTTCTGTCCGATTACTGCTACGGAATGAAACGAACACCTACGAAGGCTATTAAGTCAAAACTTCCAGACGCACATTACACTTGACAATTTCCGTTTGACATGGGGATAACGTCTGGAGATCGAGACTATAGTCAACAAGGTGCGTGTTTGATGCATTGTGGGTAATGTATTAGCTTGTTAGAAGCCCAGCTAAAATTTACAGATCAAGACGAAGTCGAATTTGCAGGCAGAGAAAAGTATTAAAACCCATTCAGAATTTAAATTTTTTGAATACTCGAATTTTGCAAGACATGTCAAAGCTTTAAACGTAAGTTTAAGACCGGCAAAGACCGGCAGTATTTCATTTTCTTCATTTCTATGGGCGATAACCACTTTATCGGTGGATTTTTTTCAACATGGCGAAAATCTTCGGTTATTTGCCCTTGTCCAGGGGCGACAATTTTCTGGCCAAAGAATTATTGCCCTGTCTTGAAACTTCCAGAGAAGACTCTTATTTTTTATCTACATCCCTTATGCCCCAAATCTACATGAATAGCCTACTCAATTCTTATATACAAGTTCACGAAGTTTAACCTATTTAAAATGTAGACAAAGCCATAATGGCGTCGTTTTGCTGGCATGTCGATGATCACTCGGAAGCGTGACTGGCTTGATTTCTCGAAACCTATTTGTAAATTCCTTCCCCTTGATAGACGCTTTCAAATAAATGTTGAAAAGTAAGTTTTAATTCACAGGAAATCGTCTGATTTGTTAAATATGAGTAAAAATTGGGTTTTTGTAAATAATTTTTCATTCAAGATCTGGGATGTTTTTCAATGTCGACCTCATAAACCACAGTGAAACGTGACTGAACACAGACCTCGTTGTGGAAGGAAGTGGGTCATAATGACCCATAATAAGTTAAACTGCATTGCATAGTAATGAAAAAAAAGTTCTAGCAAATTAAAATTTCTTTATATTTTCTTGCATTTTTTTTGTTTTTGTTGAATAATGTTAGAAATAACTGTTCTTGTTGGTGTCCATTGTCATTAATTTATAATTGAAATATCAAAATATCAGTGGTGGATATGAAATTGCTTGTTGACAGTAGTAGTGTTGTTGCAAGACTAAACTATGAATATGAATGAAACAATATATATATAAATATATTAGATTAGACAGATGGAAACATTAAGTAATTTTCTTGTGCAATTTTGGGCAGAGAAATGTGGTATAAATGTTTAAATGTCACACATATACTTAATCATGAACCTAATGGCAGAAGTTTACAATATTTCCTCATTAATTTTGCTGGAAAAAAATAGAGATAAAAATAAGGCATAACATTAGCCTATTACAAAGTGGAATGCTGAATTATATGTTTGAAAGCACTGAATTTTGTTTTCTTATGGGTTGGTTATTTATATCCCTTGGTTCTTTCAATATTGTTGCATTTGCATTTGGAAAAATACAAATGAAAAATAAGTATATATTAAGTTTGAACTCTGTTACATTATCAATCGCATATTTTCATTTGAAAACACTTCATTCACATTTTATTAATATTATAAAATTTTGTATATTTCAGGTAAGCTATGGAAGAACAACAAGCAAATCAAGCTGAGGTTACAAATGGTGGATTTGGAGATGTTGCTGATGCTCAGATTATCCAGACAGTGCATGAAATACCAAAGAATTTACTGCAAGAGGATACTGCCATTGAAGCAGGAGGAGATCAACCACAATTTGTAGTAGTAGATGCTAATGGTCAGGTTGTAACGAGTGATGGTAGTGAAGTCGGTCTGTCTCAGACTGTTTTGGATTCGGCAACTGGTGTGGATCTAGGAGGAAATGCAACCGAGACAGTTATTGAAAGCCAAATTATTACTACCAGTGAACAGCTGGTACCCACATCAGACGCAGTTTTTTCTAGTGAAGAAGGGACTGAGGTGATAACTGTCTCTGGAGAAGCTGGCTCTACCTTTGTAAATCAAGATGGAGGCTTTACAGTTATTGAAACTGTAGAAGGAGCCCAAGGCTTTGGAGACACTGTAGTTGTTTCTGAGGCTGAAACTCATCCTGGGCAGACAGTTGTTGAGTTAGACAACAAAGATCAACAATCTTTAGAACATCAAGTAGCTGAGTCACTCAAAGATATGCAATATCAGGGTCAAGTAGTACTTCAGGGACCAGATGCCAGTGAAGTCCAAGTTGAAGTAGCTCAAGATACTGAAGAACAAGCTGATATTCCTGCTGAAGCAGAACAGTCTGATGAGGAAGAAGAAATTCCACCTGAGAACATTAATTATAACTACAGTGATGAAGAAGATGATGACGACATAAGTGGAAGTCAAAAGTTGAAGCGTGGTGAGGTAATTACTATGGCTGACGAAGATGGAGAAACCAGAATCATTAGTTTGGATGATGACGATGATGATATGGAAGATGTAGATGACACCCCTGATCAATCTTTCAATGAGTCAAAAACCGCTGATGAATTGAGAGAAGCAGTTAATGGTGATTCTAAAGAAGTTGTGGAAGAAGCCATAGTTGCAGAGGCAGCAACTGGAACAGGAGATGATGATGGAACTGTCCCAACTATTATTAAAGAGGTTGTGGAAACTATGACTAAAGAAAATGTTACCCCATTAGCAGAAACTATTATCAAAAAGGAGAAGGATGATGAGCCAAGAAAGAGAAGATCTGCCAGCAAGAAAGACTCTGAAGAAGTTGAGAGCCCCAGGAAATCTAGAAGAGGAAAGGCAAACAAGGATGCAGAAGAAGAACCTGCTACACCTGAGCCGGAATCTGCTAAGAAAGGAAAAGGCAAGACAAGAAAAGCAAGTAAAGATGAAGATGAGGAGTCTGAAGAAAGTCCCAAGAAAGGTAGAGGTAGACCCCGCAAGGATACAACCGAAAATGATGAAAATGAAGTTGAAACAGAAGAGCCAAAAGGAAAGAGAGGTCGGCCAAGAAAAGATATAGACCAAGAAGAAGAAACCCCTAAAAAGCAAGAACCAGAGAAGGCTAGGGGACGAGGGAGACCAAAGAAAGGAGACGCAAGCAAAGAAGATGAAGAAGTTGAGGAAACCCCAATAAAGGTTGAGAAAACAAAAGGAAAAGGAGCTAAAGACTCTACACCTTCAGACACGCCAAAAAGAGTCAGTAGAAGGTCGCTTAAGGAAGCTGAAGAAGCAACTCATGCTTCATCACCCACCAAAGGTAAAAAGAAAGTGGCTGAAGAGAGTCCTGCTGAAACACCGGGAAGAAGAGGAAGATCAAAGAAAAGGGGTCAAGAGGACCTAGAAGAGGAAGAATCAGAACAACCAGTTATTGCGCTTGGTACTCCTATTAAGCAGGAACCAACTGGTAAAAGGGGAAGGAAGAGGACCAGGGATGATGCTGAAGATGCACAAGAACCACCTCTTGATGAACCAGCTACTCCTGAAACACCAGCAGCACCTACGCCAGCAAAGAAGAAAGCTAAAAATAGCTATAGTGAAACACCAACTCATGTTGTTAAGCAAGAACCAATTGATGATGGTTTTCCTTCACCAACTCCATCACCAAAGAAAATTCGTAGAACTCCATCAACTCCAGGTTCATCGAGTGATATTTACAGTATTGATCAGATTGATGAAGAAGATGAAGATGGTATGTCATCACATTCTACACAAACAGCACAACCAGAAGAGATGCAACCATTTGTGGAGTTTCATGTTGTATTGGAGTCTCCTGGAAGAAGAACAGTCCAAACACAAACTGATCCCAAACTTAAGAAGAAGAAATTTGGACCATTGAATATGAATTTTGAAGATGAAGGACTATTTGACGAAGAAGAAGAAAGTCCAAGAAGAAGAAGAAGGGAAAATGATATTTCTTTGTTTGAAGACACTGAACCAAAACGTAAATCTATAAAGAGAAACACTGAAGAGGCTCTGAAATGTCCATTCTGCGACAGAGCCTTTATTGGTTTGGTAAAACACATAAAGAGTAAACATCAGGAAGAAGCAGACTTTGATGAAGAAATGAGAAATGCTAAATGGAGAGAAAGGATCATGAAAGTTTCCAGCCAAGTCTCTGAAGATGTTGTTGAGGTTTGCACTGAATGTGGTAAACAGACTAAGAGCATGAAGAGACACATGGAGCTTCATCAACAAAATAGAATGCAGATTCCTTGCCCAATTTGTGGAAAAGTTGTACTCAAGACTGGTATGAGCTCTCACATGAGAACAGTTCATTCTGGACGTAAACCATACAAGTGCCCTCATTGCGACTATTCATCAGCCTTTAGAGGAAATCTGAATACCCATATCAAAGGAATGCATCTCCATACGAGACAGTATTTATGCAGTGTCTGTAAAGCTGCTTTCAAGACTCTTGGAGCTTTGATTGGACATACCAAGAGAGTTCATGAAGGATGGAAATCCCCCAATCAGAAGATCTTTATTTGTTCAGTTTGTGAGAAGAGATTTACCAAGAAGTACCATGTGGATAGACACATGCTGATTCATACTGGAGAGAAACCTCATAAATGTACTGACTGTGGACGATGCTTTAATAACAAATCTAACCTAATGTCCCACATTCAACTGGTACACAAGAAACTATCGCCATACATGTGTGACATGTGTCACGAAACCTTCAAAAGAAAGAAACTTCTTCTGGAGCATATTGGAAAAGTTCATGTAGCTCATGGTGAAGCTGCTAAAGCTATGCAGGCCTATATTAAGAAGATTGAGGAAGAAGCCCCAGATGATGAAGAGATGCATGAAACAACATTGGATGAAGAAAAGATTGCGGAGATGACAGAAGTGAAAAATGAAGATGGGACTACAACAGTTTATGCTACAGTTCAAGAAGGTGACTTTGCAACTGTTGTCTCTGATGGAAGTATGCTTCAAGGTCAAACATTTACAACTCTACAAACAGATGGAGGTCAAGAAACTATTATAATTGTCCAAGCTGCAGACTCAAATGAAGTTACCCATACTTTGGTGCAAGAAGATGGTGGACCAGTACAGTTTGCTATGCAGCCTGATGTTGAGATGCCTAGCACCAGTCAAGCAACAGAATTATTCACACAGATGCAGAATTAGGTGAGTTATTAAGTCGTGTGATGAATGGTTTCTTAATAAAAAAAGATCTGTGTGATAGTTCATGTCAATATTGTCCCATCTGTGCTTCTAAATGTATGATAAGATGGTTGAAATTATGAAAGCCGAGATCAATCCATTTCTTTGAGCTAAATGTACATGATTTGAATTAGAGACCCACTCTGGCACTCTCAGTATTTTACCATGTTTTTTGCCATTTTGTCCCCTAAAAGAGGGTTTATAGCACTTAAGAAAAAATTTTGAAGTAGCTGATAAATGCGAATTTTGTGTGGCTGAACTATATATGATAATTATTGAAACATTGAAAGAACTTCTTTTGAATAAACTATTTTCGTCATTTCAGATGTTATTCTATATTTATATGGTTCTATTTATATGGTATGATGAGGTAATAAAGAAGAACCAGAAGCCATGAACTATACCAACAAAAGTCTAGCCCATTGAAAACTGACTAGAGATTGTTAACATTGTGGCGCTAACAGCTAGTTTTAATTCTGTTCATACAAAACTAATTTGGATCATACAAAAGAAACTTCCAAAATATCTTTATTTTTTAATGGTACCTTATTTAGTCTGCCAGGAATGAACACTCTCAGTGCGATAGCATTTACTCTCTAAATCGGCTGTCAATGGAAAACATGATGTTATTGATTGCATGTATGAATATGAATTTCAAGTTGAGCACCACAACAGTTATTATTGTTGTATTTGTAAATACTTTTTGTTATGCCCTTAATTCTATATCTACATTTTGTCCATATTTTAAAATTTTGTTTGCGTTTGATTTACATGGGATCTGACCCTTGTAGAGTTCCGACATGACCTTAAGTTCCACACACTTAAAGTCTACAGATGAATTTTTAACCATTGTTACCATTAGGCTATTGTAAAATCAGGGACAGTTCCTTCATTGTGATTTTATTACTGTAGATAAAGTATTGTATTTGTTATATATCATTATTATGTATTGTGAAGATAAAATCGCATGTAATATCGCATTAATTTCTGAGGTTTATTTTTAGAATTCTGCACATTGACTGCATGGAATTTGAGTCACAAGCAAATAAGGGGAATTTTGATATTTATGCCCATTTGATGAAAATGTTCAAACATTATAATATATTGTGTCTATGAACCATATTGTGGAGTTTTTATTTCATATTTGTTAATGTTTTTTTATATAGTTACATAATTATTCTCAAGCAATATTTCTGCATGATTTCTTAGAGTTGAATAGGCATTATCTCTGGGTTTGTCAGAGAGTTTAATGTGATTTTGAAAAAAAAGAAAATATTTCTGCATTTTTATCAATATGAGTGATGCATATTTTTTTCGCTTATTCTGAATTCTACAGGTCCAAACTCGGTTTGTACTCCTACTTTTAAAGTATTTGGAAATTTATTGATCAATCTGGTAGCATGTCAATTCCAATTCAGTATCTTATATCAATTTAGCTAATTTATGTAGGCTAATTGAAATCTCTTACTTATGCATTGTACATTATAAACCAGTGAAAAATTGCAAGTGTCAACAATTGAATAACACAAACACAATTATATGGATACCAATTACTTTAATAAATAACTTGCGACGTTTCGACAATGATTCATCATTGCTTGATAAAGACGAAAGAATCATCGTCGAAACGTCGCAAGTTATTTATTAAAGTAATTGTTATCCATATAATTGTGTTCGTGTTAATATCATCAATTACTAAATGCCACTCAAGGAAACAATTGAATAATATTTTCCAGTTGATAATTAATAGTATTATAATAGAACTATATGTAACTGCATCAAATTGAAAATATTTAGGCACTATATCATGGATATATTTCTGTTACCAGTTAAACCATGATTTTGTAAATTGATTGTAAATTTGTGTTCCTATTTTTTCCCATTAACATTTAATTAATGCGATAATTTGGATATCTTTGAATATATTTTTGGGTAAATGAGTTGTTATTATGTATGTGGTTTCATCTTATAAAATAAACCTACTGAAGCTTGTTTTATATCTATCTTTATTCAGGTCTTCCTTAAAGAGACAGTTGCACCATTTTTTTTTCCACTCGTACCCGAGTCTCAGAAACGGTAATTTGTTGGCTAAGCCAATCAGTAGTAGTGTTCACAGCTCACCATCAAAATTTGAGGCATGTGTGTCCAGAATTATCCAGATGAGTAGTATTGAATTGTCTTAAATCAATGAATGGTTTTGAGTAAAAATAGTTTCAGAGTCTGTGGTTTGAAACTCTTTCAGAGATCAAGAACTTATAATAGACTTAATAGATGGGTATATTTTCATATTACAAGTAGTCAATATACAGAAGAGCATAACATCATCTTTATTGCATAAAAATTCATTTTAAAATAACAGTTTAAAATTTAAAAAATGCATGACTTAAAGAATGATTGCTGAAATATCTTTAAAAAAAATACTTTTCCAAACAAGCCCAAGAAGATCAGAATATAAAGATAAAGGAATATTCTATTTCAAATGAAGATAAAATATTAAATATATTCATTTGTAGACTTCTCTGGTGTCATAACTAAACAACATAACCTGAAATGTTTATTATAAGAGGAAGTATTCTGTTGAAATCAAATATGCAACAATACAATTATTATTAAGATTATTACCCATGATAATGGCACTTTCTTTATTAACTCTAAAGAGGTAACAAAATGAATTCAAAACAGATTTCTTGATTAAACTTTAAACTTAACAGGGTACACCAATCAAGAGATTATTTTTAGGAGTACATGATTTAGGTTGCAAAGTACAAAGACTAACAGAGTAATGATTTTCTCTAGCCAATTCAGCTCTATCTGTATCAACTAGGTTAGCACAGTATACACCTAAAAATATATACAAACATACATACACATAATATTAGATTCACAATTCAACAATTATTCTAAAAACCTATAGAGGAAACATCTTGTTGTGCTGTAATCAAATTGTTAAATCATGCATTAGGCTTGATTACACATGGGTTTACATTATTGTCCACAAACCAGGAGGGCTACGGTTCTTTCTAGACAAGGGTGTTTTCATCTGGTTTTCCTTTAGTGATGCAGGTCAAAATGACTAATGAAAAATAGTCATGTAGATGGGATTAAAAACTGAAGAGCTATGTGCTGTAAGCTTCTTTCCTCTATAGGTATCTCTTTACTCTTTCAGCATTTCTACTGACAAAGGTACATTTCAAATAAATGGAACACACTTAAAACTAAAAAAAATACCAACCTTGATCTGCAAGAGCAATATTAAATTCTGTTTGATCTGCAGCATGTCCTAGAGTTACAAAATCCTGAAAAATAATTGGCAAACGATGCTTTAAATTGAAATAATTGAAGAATTCTGGCTGAAAGGAGTTTCAACTTCACAAATGTCAATCACTTTACTAAGGAGGTTGAAAAACTACAAGACATAAAATTTAAAAGCTTACCTTGTATGTCATACCAGTATTTGTAAATAATTTACTACGAGGGTAATATATTCTATGAGTTTTCACAATGCTACCGTAACAACAAGGGCAGATAACAAATGATGCATTATTATCTAAACATTGTTGTAATACCATATCAGTTGCAACACCACAGGCATGTAAACATACCCCAATATCAAAATTACCATGAAAATAATCTAGATTACACTGGAATCAAAGTATTAAAATCAACACATTTTGCATAAAGGGATAGCACAGAAATTTCATAAACTTTTTATGGTGTATAAGGAACACTGATAGCATCGATTAACACCATTCTAATTTTCGATCAAACATCTGTGGTTCTTGTAATACCACTAAAACTAAGCGCTAAATGACATCACTATCACAGAAGCTGCTAATAATATGTAAGTACCTTTATGATAGTTACGTTATTATATATATATAAACTATTCACATGTTCAAACTGAAATATATACCTGATATATTACAACATTTCTCAGCTGTAAACTTTCTATTCTTGTTCTAGCTCTATCTATTGATTCCTCTTTATTTTCTATCAAATATATCTGAAAATCATACAATAATATCCTTAAATCATACAATACTACATAATAGAAAGATTAAAACAGAACTTAGTTGTTACCCACGAGTTTCCTGATATGCTATCTTCAGACATCTGACCTATTATAAGCTTAAGTCCCTACTGAAGTTGAACAAGTAGAAATTATTATTGTGTCATATATATGTTTTCTTTACAGGCAAAAAGACAAGGATGTCCATTTCTAATTAATGTATCAATAAAGTTTAAGAATTTAATAGTTTAGTTAATAACAATACCTTGCAATGTGGTAACAAATAAGCTATAACAATTCCAAGATGTCCCTAAAAATTGAAAAAAAAATACTGAAATCATATGGACCTAACAATCTAAGTTGGCACCTTTGAGTATTTGAAAATAACTTTTGTTCAAACCAGTTTTTAAGTAGTATTATATGCAATATATCAGTGGGTTAACTCTGTCAGTTGCAAACAAGATTATTGTCTCTCATTGCCAGATGTAGCAAGCAAACTCGTGTTACAGATTGTCAGTGCTTTCAATGGATATCCTATACACATAGCAGTAGCGAGTTTATTTTCTAATGGAACATTCCTCAAGGTGAGAAAAATTTACATGCTTCTGAGAGTCTATCTGGTGAGCACTTTCTCTCTGATAATAATATATTTACTTACACCTCCACTACAGAAATCTACAATAATATTACCAGGTTTAGCTAGTTTCACTACAGCTGTTACTAAATTCTCTAATTGTTGACATTTTCTTTCTATTCTCTTCTGTGGAACAGCACCTTTATAAAGACAAACAAACGATGGTAAAATTTTATATTCAAAATAATGTTGAGTTTGTACCAGATCTGGAAATGAAACGCTGAAAAGATTCAAATGAGAAATTTATATTTCAAATGCATGTAACATTTTTTTTAAAATTGTGTTCCTCAACAACAGGTCCAGTAACTATTCATATCAAGATGTCAGCGCACTTCCTATAAAATTTTTATAAGATATCCATTTTGTTTACACAGATAGGCCTGATTTGATAGAGATATATACCAACCTTCCTGTGGATGAGCACTTAGTGGTAAATCATTCCAATTTATACCAACATCTTCATTACAAGGATGTTTACCTAGCTTGATATCAATATTACTCTTCTGAAAGACACAATTCTAAATTGGTTACTACACAGATAAATACTCAACCTTATACTGAACTTTAGGAAAACTATTCAGATGACTATTTTACCTTTAACACATCATCAAAAATTCTTCTGGAGGAGACATTGGAAGCGAATATATGTTGATTAGACCATCTTTGCAGGTCTATCAGATAGAATGTCCAACTCTGATTCTATTTTAGAATGTTTTTTCATTACAAGAGTTAAGTGACATTTTCACATATTTAAGATAATCAGAGAAAAAAAATTTGCCCTGAAAGACAGGAAATGTAATAGTGACAGCCCTTGTTGACACAAAAACATAATAGACAAGTAAGCTTATAAAATTAAATGATTGAAAAGAGGAAGAATGAAATATCTCACTTTAATTGACTGTAATATTTCTGTTACTTCAGGTTTTATAGCTCGTACTGTAGATTTATTTCTACGACTGAAAAACAAAGTTTATCAACTTTATTTATATAATGCTTCCTTCAAATACATGTTTATGGGTTATGGAGGCACACTGGCCGTTGTGTGCAATGCATAGTGCAGAGAAAAACTTATCTTTTCCATAACACCTTTAAGCATGTTTTGTAGCATTTTATTGTTTGGTACTCAGAGCCAGTCAAGTCATATCAACATCTGATTGGGCTGGTTTTATCAATCATAAAAAAAAAACTGACAGAATAAGGTTAAATAATTTTCAAGTTAATTGTTTGAAAAAAATCACAACTTACTGAAGTTCCATATTTTCATCCACAGGAACAGTATCAGACAGAATTTTAAATGTTACATTATTTATTCCTGCAAGTCTGGGATTCCATGATAAACCACACTGCTGACAGGATTCCTTTATTCTAGGTAATGATAACATATGATCTAACCAAGTTGAAATATTTGGTAGATGTTCTTTTAAGGCATCCATTTTAAAGTTCAAACTTTTCTACAAATCATAAAGTTTTCATTACTGTTACATGTATTATAAATAAATAATATATTTAAATCAAATCAAATGACAAGTAAAAGCATATAGGCAATTTTACTTTATTGTAATTCACAAAAGCTCATCCTTATATGTTGAAACACTTTAGATATGTAACCATCATCAAGGCAGCTATCTTAGATTTGACATGCATGAAGAAAATAGAGAAAAGAAATAAATGATATTGTCAGACCATTTTCAAACAAGTTACATGCTCGAACATATTTACCCTTTAATAAAATATACTGAAATTTAGATTTTACTGTGTCAAAACACTAAGTTTAACCAAGAAAAGAATTCTCTTACCATTAACAAATAACAATAAACAAACAGTATCAGATCAGCAACAGTCATCTCTAAACCTTCAGAATATACATGAACAAATTCTACATCTAAAATAGCTATAGTTTTAAATGCTGATATTATTTCCTCTATGGTGTATGGTTCACTTTTTACACAGCCATAATTGTCTCCTGTTGTAGAGTCACTATCAGAAATGCTTCTTGAAAGTTCATCAGTGTCAACTGAATCATTCACATCAATTTTAACTGAAGTGTTACGATTTAAATTCAATTTTAAAGTTTCTTGTTCAATTTCAGCTAAACGCTTAGCTTCTTTTCTTTCCAATTTTCTTTTCTTTTTCTCTTTTCTACGTTCCGCCTTTTCTTCATTTGTTTTCTGTACAGGAGGAGTTATTGGCCTTTCTTTGTCTTTTGGTTTGTATTTTGGAATTCTGTCCTTGGCATACTTTTTATCACTTTTAAGGTACAAATTGTTTTTGACATTTTTATAAATAAAATATCTGCGAATACCATGTGATAAAATAACGTCTCGCTCAAATAAACAGTCATTTCTGTCTCGTTTTAGCGACATCAGCAGTTCCATACCACTCTCAGAATTGAGGATCTCATCTCTATTTTCAACTAGTATACGTTTTTTTATTTTATGATCATTATGTATTTTAGGAGGCTTTGAAAAATGCATCTCTAATTTCAACAAATCTACTGGAATAGCAATTTCATTCTCTTCCTTTATATCCATTTCACTAAAATTAAGATAAATATTTTCAAAATGGTATAAACAGGTCCAGCTTTAGGATTTCTAAATGATAAAACAAATATTTAATTCCAAAAACCAAACATAAGCACAACATGGATATGCAAAAGTATAGTTAAGTTATTTAAACAAATCAACATCTGTTCAAACTAAAAATACAACTTTGGAGCAATGATCAGATCTAAAGAATATAAAACCCATCCTTGAAATCTCAGTAAACTGGCATCCGTTCGTTTCCCTAACACCTGACTCAACTTTTGACTCTAATGAGTGGAAGAAACAGACACAGTGCCATGATCACAAAATTTTCACATTAAAAGGTATCAAACATTGAAAAATATTTGTCTTAAGGTAAATGTCCATATCTCAAGAGATATGTTTTAAAATAACATAAACTCACTTAATTTTTGACACAAGATTTAAAATAGCATCAGGAAGATCAACTTCACACAATTTAGTCCACCCAGATACCTGAAATAATAACAATTTGATTCTTATTCAACATCTAAAACTTGACTCCTTAATCCTTTTGATCTTAAAAAATAATATTTCTCCCTTACAAATCAAAAGTGATTTTTATTATCATTATCATTATTGACATACCAAATTATCTCCATCTGTATAACTCAGGATGGTTTTTATGTTATGTCTACCTCCTTGATCCAAGCGGCTTAATGCCTTGTCATTATCTCCCCTGATACATCAAATTACCTCCCCTGACAAATACCGCTTGATTTCTTACCTCAGCACACATTCTCAAACTGCCACTTCTAAACCCCTACAATGATACAAGTAATTCAAATTCATTTACTTAACAAATAGAATGCACGAAGCATGGCAAATATTCAGATACCAACATGTAAAATAATGTTAAAAGAATTCTTCCTAATCCAGTTCCAATAAATTCAATTTTATGCGTTATCATGATCTTTAGTTTTAAGCATTAAGTTTTTGGAAAGCTAAGAATGATTCATTTTAAGATGAAATTATGATCAAAACTGCAAAATACCTACCAATAAATCTATGAAGTTTTCTCCAGGATTATTGTGATGTGATGATTGTATAAGATGTCTGACTGTCCCACATAGACCTGATCTTATCATGCATGTTTCTTCATCAAGACTTACAGGTAATATACAGTTCTTTACCAAGCAAGGTAGACAACTCTCTTTAATATATTCAATATTCAACCCTTTTAAGATATTACTTGACTGAAAAACATACTTTTCTGAAATGGAAGTAATCAGAAACAATTTTAATATTATAATTATGCAAGGAGATTCCCTGTGAAAAAATTGATAAATCTCGCAGGCATAGTGGCACAATAACCTCAGAATCTTAAGTTATCAGGGCATGGACAAAAGTATGAAGCCTACTTGTGTATGTTTTGAAATGACACTTGCAGTTCCAGTCCAGTTGGTATCAGTATCACATTTGGACTTCTCCAATTCACAATATCGGTAATGAATGCTTGAAAGTCACTTTGGTTTTAAAGGGATAGTAAAGGGGTTTTCTAAAATTTTAATGTGACATCGATAGCATCAACTTGCACCATTAAAAATTTCAGTCAGATGCCTAAACTAAGCGTTTTATAGCGTCACTAATCGTAAAAAAGGCTTGTACCACATAAGGCCCTTCTCGATTAGTGATGTTATCAAACACTTGGTTTAAATGGAATTGCTGAAACCACAAACGTCTGACTTAAAATTGAAACAGTGCTATCAGTGTTCCCAATACACATCAAATATTTAGAAAAACCTCTAACAATCCTTTTAACGGTCTGATTTATGTATTTCGATAATGATATCTTTTCAAAAACTGCTCATTCATTAGTAAAAAAATGAATATAGCATACATACAACTTCTCATCCTAAATTCTTACCTGTTGATTTCAAATCATTTGGTATGACTAAAAAATACTGAAAATGGTATGACTGACAGTATCTGGATACAAAGAGTAGAGCTGAAGATACAAGAGGCAGACTTAATCTACCATCATCAGTACATACCCCTTCTAGATAGAGTTTCTGGCACATTGTTACTAACATCTACTGAACCATCCTCTGAAATATAGAGGAAATATTATTTAAACAATACTACATGTGCCATATTTCATACTCTATAATATGGATTCAATATGGGTTCAGAAATAAACTGAATAAAATTCTCTAACCAATTGGATCATAATGATGGGCTATCTAAAGCTGATTTCCCAATATCGGCATATAGATGTGCGTCTATCTGTTTATTTTTATCTTTAAAGGAATTTCAGCTTTAAAAAACTTTGCATTGATAACGTTGTTAACATGGGATAACATTATTATATTAAATAATGGCCATTTTCAGTCAAAAGTTGGAATGTTCCTGTTGAAATTTCTTGAAGTATGTTTAAAACAACATATATTTATATAAACGCAATGTCGATCTAATACTGCATTATACATATGTAGTTCTGAACCTGATATCAAAATTTACATAAAATTCATTGATAAATTTGTTTCACCTACGAAAGTGTGAATTTTTCAACAAATTTTTCAAGTCAAATGGCAAAATCTGGTACACAAATCCCTTAATGAATAACTTAATACACCTTAAATTATCTGTAGCCCAATCCTTATTTAGTACAATAGAATCTACCATCCCTCCAATTCACTGATACAATAATAAAGGCTTATTAAATGTACATAACATGTGGGGAACAGCTCTCAGATGGTGAGTCACGTGTATGTATGGAAAAGCAATGCACAAGAATTTCACCGCCTTTGTCGGCTTCTGTAATAATATTTGCCAATCAACTAAATTCAACCTAGCGAAAACATGGTAAAGAAACTTTTAATCTATCCACCTGCCCTGTAGAAATGAGTCAATCTAAATTGAAGACGTTAAATGTTGAAGTATTTGATCATCCACAACAAGGGAAATCTGTGTTTACTTTACATTCTAATCGGACGGTATTTCCCTACAAATTATGGAACAGTACATTATTATTATTTTAGGGGGAATACACAATTTTCATCAAACCAGTTTTGTATTTTTGCAAAACACTTCAATGTTACAAGGATAACTCATATCCACAATAACTGTGTAAACTGTGAATTCTAATAAATGAAATACATCTTAAGCCCACAGTGATGTATAAAGTAACAAAAGCTTTGGTTGACCCCCAAGTAGAAATACAGTCACCCCTTTACATACATGGGGCAGCCTCTCCGCCATTCTGTCGCCAATAAATCGTGACGTCACTTTTCTCAACACACCATTCAACCAAATAACATGTTTATTTTTATCGCTACATCCGAAATGAAATAGTGCATGTTATTTACATGAAAACTGATTTATCCGCCTGTGTATTGTTAAAAATGACATTAAATATTATAAAATCGCCAAGAACTTATGCTTATAATATAGGTTTCTAAAAGTGTCGTTAAAATCTTTAAAAACAGGAAGTGCGTAGAGGTCGTTTTCGTGTAGTAATATCAATGGTTGTTTCCAGTGATGCGACTTCCCGTCTGACTGTCGCCACTTACAATAGCAAAGAAATTTTACTCTTTGGCTTGTGACTTATTTTTGATGGAGAAATTTCACGGATGGTTTTCCCGCCGTAGAAATAGCCCTTGATTGCTGAGTTGCTATATTTCTGAAGATCAGGAGGTTAATACATTTGTAGCCGAAAGTTGGACAGGTAAATTTTTCACTTTCTTCGAGAGGTTTCGTTCCCAAATTCGCCATTTTTGATGAGTTGACTGTGAAATTTCTCAACTCGATGTCGACAGCGTGGCGATATCATGTCTGGGTGAAGGAGTACCTCCCAACAAATGATGTTTGACTGTATAACAACCCTTATTTTCTCGTCAAATGCTTCATACAAGCATCAAAATGACGGAATACAGCGTGAACAAAGTCTGTTGGATGGCAGAAGAATTTTCTGACAGTTAATCTCATGACATGACTGATTTGCCAAAGTGACTGCTTGATTTTGATTTTTCCTTTGGATGAGATTTATGTTCAAATGCAAAGGAGAACTTGTGACAGACCAGTATGAAAATTGATAATGTCTTTTCCCTGTTCTGGAATTTTTGTAGTGTACAGATGGCAGCTGACTGTGCTTCCTTGGGTCAAATTGAAATGGTTTTTGTAGTTTACTTTTTTAATTTATTGTTTACAGTAAAAATTGTAAAAAGCAGGATCCTGCATATTGTTGAAAATATTAAAAACTCTTAACAGACAGGTTTAGCAACTTTGCTGCACAAGAATGAGTTTGGTCATTGAAGCATTTAATTGGGTGTTGACTTCACTAATTAGCCTGTTAACTGTCAACTTATAACACTGGGGGTGTCAGTATACCAATGTCTCAATCACTTGACTTCAATAAAACACAATCATGTTTTTAAACTAATTATTTTCTCACTTTCAAATTGTAATTGGTTTTCTATGTTAATTGGCTTCCAGTTTAGAAATTAATAAGCTAACAAAAGAAAAAAGTCATTTATTGCAAATGTTATGAGACCTTGTTAATATTTTAACAGTTCTTTTTCTTTACTATGTTGTGGAAGATTCTTGTCAAATACCCTAGGCTTACAGTATACCTAAAACAAAAATCATTATCTAATGTGATGTGCTTTGAATCTGATGAATCTTGCCATACTTGAAATAAATTTTTTGTTTTGTCTTAAAGGGGTAGTAAAGGGGTTTTCTAAAACATTTATGTGTATTAGGGACACTGTTAATTTGCACCATTCCAAATTACTATCAGATGTCGGTGGTGCCTGCATTTCAACTAAAACTAAGTGTTTCTATGATGTTACTAATCGCAAAATTTTCTTTATCACATAATGGCTCTTTGCAATTAGTGACGTTATCAAACCTGATTTTGTCCCTTTTGTTTTGTGGACAATCACTTTTTGAGTAGATTTAAACCTTAAGCTTATCTCTGTGGTTTTCTTGTTGAACATATCTAAAAAAAGATTTGCTTCAAAAGAAGAAATGAGCTATGTGCATTATGCAAGGCATGAAATAAGCGACTAAACAAGGATATTGTCCGGTAAAATCTCAGCGAATGTTCATTCTTTGTTGATTTTTGAATTATCAGCGTTTCTGGATTTTTATACGGCTGATAAATGTCAAGGTTCTTGTTCTTATCAAAATGTACTTTTTCATGCACTGAATTAACGTTTCTCACCTAGGACTGAGTATGGAAGTCAATAACATAGTCTATTAGATCATCTAATTACTAGCATTATTAAAAGAAAAGCATGGCCTGGATATTCAAGTTAAAAAAAAAACAATGGTGTGAACACAATTTTGCCAAATCAGTTGTCAGAATCTTTTTCAATAATTTTTATTCTATTATTACTAAAGATATAAAAGATCAAATAGTATTATATTATAATCATGAAGTCCAATCACCCTTTGACACATGTATTTCAAATATTACTTACGAATTTGATACAAAGATGTACAAAAAACCGAAAGTAGAAAGATGATGAAAGTAAGAAATCCATTTGCTGATACAGACATATTTTATTATCCATTATTAACAGTCTTTACTTCTGATGGCTCTTTATTCTGGCCTAGAGCTTTTCAACAAGGCATGATTTAATTTTATTATGTATTTGTTTACTGAGCATTTTAACATTTCTCCAGTCATTGGGAATATAAGTAATCACGATTTGAATGAAATGAATTTTTTTTAGTTATTAACCTGTATTGCAGGTGAGAAAAGGGTCGTGAATTGAACATTTTTGAATGCAATTTTCAATGGAAAATATGGTATAAAATTTCAAATTTCGGACACAATTCATTTGTGCTGGACAAAATGTTTGACCCAATTTCTGAAGTTATTTCAAGTCTTTGCTTTTAGTCACTATTTTAATGTTTAAGCTGGACAGTAGGAGGTAAAACAGTCACAAAAAGAATACTGTCTCGACTAGCATATTGCTTTCATCAATAAAGATGAAATAGAATTAGAAGTTAAAGCTGACCGATGTCCAGTGGGAAGATTAAAGATATAATATGTTGTTGTTGGTGTGTTGTTTATTTATAGTCTAATACGGTACAGTCAACAGTTATCCTTGTCTTCTGGTAGTCATTTATTGGGCTGTGGGCAAAAAGTTAGGTTTAGTTAAAATTTAACTTTCATTGACACAGATCAGTTTTTCTTTGGGCTTAAAAACTGTTAGCGGTACCCAAAAAAGATATAGTACTGTACTTGCAATGTTTTCTACCTGTAACTGACAATTTTTGTTTGCTAATTTTCCAGAAATTAATGTACTTGAAGGAAGTCAAGATCAGGTGCTACTGCCGCTTATTATTATGGGTATCTCAATTTGGAATCTCAATTCTTGCCAAAATCACTGATTATTACAGGAAATATTGAAATAAAACTAATAAGATTGATATCAGAGCATTAACTTCAATTTTCATCAAACCATACTGAACATTGAAGCTTCACATTAGCTAATTATTATAATTTAAATCTAAAATTACCAGTATAAGTTTGTGAAGTGCTAGAGAAAATATTAAAAGAGTCTACACCTGTTTTACTATATTGGTGAAAGGTAGAAAAAAATAATAAACCGTTTATTTGAATAATGCAGGTGATAGAAAATGAAAATAGAAATTTAGGTCAATTTTGTTATATTTTCTACTCAATACCAAGGATAGTGAAAACATTCATTTGTACTCACTTCACTCATTTTGATGTCTATGATAATATTCAACTGTGTATATTGTAGGTACTTGGTAATATCTTTTCTATGTCAAATGTACTCCATTCTTGGGTCAAAGCAACACCTTTTATTTAATCTCAATTTATTTTACAGTGATAAATGATATGTTTTATTTTAATTTTGAAGAAAATTAAGGAAACTTGTGGCAATGGATTGAATATTTGATTAAATGATTTTGATTACTGGTATTAAAAGTACCCACAATTTTCTGTTTATCATTTGGAATATTGATAATACAAAAACTAAATCACAAAATGAATATGATAGTATGAAATGACCTGACATCTGAAAATGAAGCCAAAGCCTCATGAAATGTAAAAAAAAAAACCTAGGTTATGTAGTAAATCAGTATCAGAATATTAAGCCTACAAATATTGAAGAGTATAATAGAAAGTAATTGTAATACATTAGATAGCCTGATCAAATCATTTGAAGTAGGAGATTTTCTAGTCCCCAATGATCTTCAATGTCAGTGAGTAATGAATCAAATAAAAACAGGAGATAAATTTTCAATGAAAACAACTGACAAGTGTGATTCACTGTAATGGATGATGGCTTTTCTCTAAGAAACTACAAATCTAGGGGAAAAAATCAATTTGATTGGAATCTCTTTAACACATGTAGTAAAATAACTGCAGATTATTTAAATAAAGTCAAGTTATTATGTGTTTTATTGTTGCTTCCTATCTGTCTAATCATTGGATTTCAACGGGTTTTAAATTATAATTGTTATGTTTAAGACTGTCAGACATTGAAGAAGAGATTCAGATCCTTGTCTTTTGACTACACATATTCAACATTCTAAACTTCTGGTCGCGAAATGAAGGACCAGAGCAATATCAGACAAATTCTTGCTTAATAGAATACTGCAATAAACAGTGCCTGCAGAAATAAGTTTTTTTTGTAGTATCAAGTAATAAGCTTATTCCTTCTGTATTTTCAGATATGACGTCGCCTCTATCAAGTATATTTTCTTTCACAAGTCCAGCTGTAAAACGTTTATTAGGATGGAAACAAGGTGATGAAGAAGAGAAATGGGCAGAAAAGGCTGTGGATTCTTTGGTTAAAAAGTTAAAGAAAACCAAAGGAGCATTAGAGAATTTAGAAAAGGCATTAAGTCAGCCTGGACAATTAAGTAAATGTGTCACAATACCACGATCTCTAGATGGTAGATTACAGGTGTCTCATCGTAAAGGCCTACCCCATGTAATTTACTGTCGAGTATGGCGTTGGCCAGACTTACAATCTCATCATGAACTTAAACCTTTAGAATGCTGTGAATATCCCTTCAGTGCCAAACAGAAAGATGTCTGCATTAATCCTTATCATTACAAAAGAGTCGAAAGTCCAGGTAACTAATAGCTCCTCTAAATGTTTTTCTTAAATTCGGATCATTGGCATTGTCTCAGTGTATACTGTGATTTTTCATTAGGACCCTTTTTTCGATATTAACATGTGCTTACTACAATTTATTCAGTTGAGAACTAATATGATGGCTTCAAAGGATTAATAATGTCGAGAACTTTTAGTCAGAAATGAAATACTCTCAGCTCTTTCCAATTATAAAAAATTGCAGTACAGAATAGCATGAATCATGATATAAAATAAACATAACCTAGCATGAATATAATCATTATTTTTCCATTTTGAAAATCTGTGGAAATGAGTATCTGATGAAAACTATGTAAAGATTCATGACTCACTTAATAAGATATTGATTAGAAAGTAAAAAAAGAAGAAATGTTCCATCATTGTATCAGTACGATGAGTGAATCAATAAGTCTAGAATAAAAAACATATAATTTGATGTCATGGAGTTGTATAAAATAACCCCTGGAGCGAGAAAACAATAATTTAATGCATTTTTTAGCAACCTTTAATGTCTAAATGAAACGAATTTTTTCATATTGCGAAATTGCAGGAAGCTTTAAAGGAAATAGAAAGAGGCTGCCAAGAAAGGAATAATTTAAGAAGAAATATGCCCTAGATTTTTAGCTTTCATAATTATTTTTTAACTTTAGCCCATTTTTCTTGTAAATGAAATTGGAAATATCTGGAACATTGAAAATGGGGGAGATCACATTAAATATCACATTGTGTTGATATTAGAATGACAGGAATATATAGAAATTTCAGTGTCAGATTTAGATTGTGACTCCATAACCAAATTTTAGTTCAATCAGTAAAGAGAGAGAGAGAGGTTGTGATCATGATCATTATAAAATAATTGCCAGATCGAATAATTCATTTTGAAATGGTGTTAAAAATTTATGATGATAGGATGATTAAAATCATTTAGATATTAACCATGTGATATGCTAGCGACATCATAGAATATCTGGTAGGTACAACTACTTAAGTTTTCATCTGTACAGTCAAATGACATAAAATATATTTATATGTTCTTATACTTTCAAGTGTACAATTGTATGGTGATAATTTGATTATATAAATCATTGTTTATTTGTTTAAGACTAATCTAGTTGATAAACTGAGTAAACAAAATTTGTTTAATGAAACTTGGGGTCAAATACTAAATCAACTATTTATATGATAGTGGTAAAGATTGTAGACCATCTTTAAAGTAATTATCACAATATTAACTATCATATAGATATAGATAAAACAAACCCAGTTTTTTAAACAAAGACAAAACACATCTATAGGCAAAAATGCAATAGCAAACTACCATTTGTTAGTGATCTTCAAGCTTACACCGAAAGTCTTAGTTTAGTTATTGGCTTCAGACCTGCGTTCTTCCTTTCTTCTTGAGCTTGTCTTTGCAAAGCGTCATTTTTTCAACAACAGACCTATCAATCTACATAGACTTAAAGAAAGTGAATTCATTAAGGATTTTGTTCTATACAGTCGGTTAATACCATAATGTGCAAAATACCCATATTGTGATAAAATGAATATGGTATAAACCACTGTTATTGATTAAAGGTAATAGATGAGGCAGTGTTATTTTAAATAGTGGTATGTAATAGCTGATGTGATGGGACTATATTTGTATTACCCTGTATATAGCAGGATAATAATAAGTAACAACCAGTGACCTGGTACAGATATCTCAATCACTATAGTTTATCCTTGTTAAAATATGTTCTTGTCAATCTGACTTTTCATTGATCGTATCAATGAATTGCTGAAATAAACCCATTATTGATTCATCTTTTAATTGATATGTAAGATTAGTATCCTACATTAATAATGTCTTAATTCATAAATCAGCTCAATCAAAGATTCCATGACAGTTTCTCAGTTGAAGTTAAAGAATGATTTACATTTCAAACTACACAGCTGACAAAAAAGCTGAAAAGAAACATTTGCCTTGATACAGAACAGTATAATCTTATAATGTTTATAAATGACCATATGTTGACATATATTGGTTGTAGAGTTTTATCACATTGAAATATGAGTAAAATATCTACTTGATGAAATGTAAACTTATATAATTGGATATAAATTTGGCAGTGTATAAAAGAAAATATTGTTTGCAAAATTATGCTGTAAGCTTATTAGATTCTTCTCGCACATGAATTATTCTGTGATAAAAATAACACTTTATGAAGAATCTCTGAACTATTTCATTGAATTGTTGCCATTCATGTCCATTCAGCTATCTCTTTATATTTAATCTTCATATTATGTGAAACATTTCATTGTAGAAAAACAATATTTCATTGTAGAAAAACAAAGTTTTTTTTATGGTAGTGTCCTTCCTTAGATTCTAATGAGATACAGACAGAATAGTATAAATTTCATGTTGTATTTGATATCATTTTTCTTTCCAGTTCTTCCACCTGTATTAGTACCAAGATACAGTGAATTTCCTGCTCATCATGGTGGTCCTAATCATATGCCATTGCTACCCTTTCAACAAGTTCCTGAACCTTCCATGCCTCACAATGTTACTTACCCATTTCAACAACCCCAAGCTACACCACCTCAACAACAACCTAATTCACCACAAAGTTCTGGACCAGGCAGTCCTTATGGTTTACCAGGTAAGTTTTTGGTTCTTAATCGTCGCCTTATCCAGAGCTGTAAAAAAAGAGTGTGACCATTGAACTTTCATATGATTATAGTGTACTTACAATAGTTGAAATTGAATGAATCTCTGCTGGCTGTATGAAAGTTACCATTGTTTTATTTGCAATTGAGGATATATCTTAAACTGTCTTCCCTTGTTTAAACCTTTTCTAATAAAGAAGTTCAAATTTACACAAGTAACTTTGAGATTCAGTACCTGAAGGGAGATAACTCATGTTAAAGCATGTTTACTGTTTCAGCTGACACCCCACCTCCTGCTTACCAGCCACCAGAAGATAATAATCAAAATAATATTAACATTAATCAAAGTAATAATATACAGAATGGACCTACACCTATGGATACAACATCAATGCCTCCTCCTTCAGGTAAACTATTGCAAATTTATAGTGAGGTAGATAAGCTTTTTGAGAATGTATTATTTGGTTTCAATATTATAAATATTTTATTTTCCTTATCTGTAACCATTTGTTGATGTAAAATAGCTGTGTAATGTATAATGCCATGCATGCTTGAAACAAATATATAAGTTTTGAATGGAATATACTATTCTCTTTTGACTAGCAGTTAGTAGATCTTGAAGGAAACATAGCGTAGCATGTACAATATCAAAAATTGATTTGATGCTCAATTAAAGATGGGTTCCTGTATTAAATAAGAATTATGTTTTCAAATTTTTATTTAAATTGTATGTGCATGTAAAGATAGAGAAACACTAAATTGGTCATTGAAAAAGGTTCGACCTGAAAAGCATTAATATTATGGTATTCACACAATTTCAGTTTGCACTATTCAGATGTTGTTTAGATGTATGTGGTTCCTGTATTCCAGAAAAACCATTTGATATGAATCCCTTTAATTCTAAGGTTGAGGGAACCCATCTTAGGAAAGAAATCTTGTTCACCAAAATTGTTATTTCCTGCTTTTTTTTATATACTTTTGTGTTATGTATATTATTTATGCTTTATGTATTTGATATTGGTGTTGACTATTCACTGTGTTTGTAGGTGTATCAATGCATCACAAAGGACCTAATGTTTCACGTCAATTCTCCAATCCACGAGATCAAAGACTGACTTGTCAACTTTCTGTTGGTACGTTCGTTTAATATTTTCATTCCCTCTTTCCTCTTTTTTTTTTGATACCGATTTCTTTATTAGAGTCTAATGATAGTGTGGCTTCATGTTTTGAAATATCTCCAGATTTGCATAAAATACATTTGACTATGTAAGTTTAAATGGTTCCTTTTAGTTGATATTTACATTGTATGGTGTATTCTTTACATGGAAATATTACTCAGAACACTTATAAGCTTGTATATTATTTATTGTGTCACTTATTTTTATTGTATTGTGCTTTATGTAATGGTAGTTTAGTTGCATATCTTATTCTACAGGATCAGTGCAGTGAATGGCAACTTGTAAATTAAAAGATTTTGGAACATTATTTACATGCACTTTAGGAACTTTAATTGAGATAGTACATCTGCCCATAGTTATGTTGGAAAATTATTTTATTTCAGATGTTCAGCCAGTAACGTATCAAGAACCTCAATATTGGTGTAGTATAGTGTACTATGAGTTAAATAACAGAGTTGGGGAAGCGTTTCATGCATCAAGATCTAGTATTGTAGTAGATGGTTTTACAGATCCCAGTAATAATGCGGATAGATTCTGTCTTGGTTTATTATCCAATGTTAATAGAAATTCTACAATAGAAAACACCAGACGTCATATCAGTAAAGGTTGGTACTTGACCTCTATTACTAGTACTTTTGATTTTGTTTTAAGCTCTTTGCTAAGAAATATGACAGATTTATGAAGTCTGGTTGTACAAATTACATGGGTAATAACAAGGGGCTTGTCATTTTGATCAGTTTGCTACAAATCTAAGATTTGCAAAATATATCCCACAATTCCTCATTCCTCCATTAGCAAAAAATGGGTCCTAAATTACTCTCTGTGATTTGTTTAGAATGTCATTAGAACGGGACTGTGATAGAAAACTTGTAAGATTACAATAGATATGAAATATTTTAGAGAAAAATGAATTATAATAGGAATATTAATAGATAACCCGTACGACTCTGTGCGTAGGTTTATCAACTCTTCTTTCACACTGTCTCTGTCATTATATTGGTATTATTATTATATATTTCAGGGGTACATCTATATTATGTTGGTGGTGAAGTATTTGCTGAATGTTTAAGTGATAGTAGTATATTTGTACAGAGTCGTAATTGTAACTATCATCATGGTTTTCATCCTACAACCGTTTGTAAAATACCGCCTGGTTGTAGTCTCAAAATCTTCAATAACCAGGAATTTGCCACCTTACTCAGTCAATCAGTCAATCATGGATTTGAAGCTGTTTATGAACTAACTAAAATGTGTACAATCCGTATGAGTTTTGTGAAAGGTTGGGGAGCTGAATATCATCGTCAAGACGTGACCAGTACACCATGCTGGATTGAGCTACATTTAAACGGTCCTCTACAATGGTTAGATAAAGTTCTTACTCAGATGGGATCACCACACAACCCCATCTCTTCAGTTTCTTGATTCTATTTCATTATATATCTGGAGTAATTATTGAGACATTGCTGTTGATTCAAACAACTTATGACTTGATTCCATGAGTGGATTTCTAGTTGTTATGGGACATAACTCTTAGATGACTAAGACCTGAGGACTGATAAATCAAACCACAAGGAAATTTGTTTGACTGGTGGACAGACACGAAATGGTACGACAAAACAATAAAACACACTATTTGTCTTCCTGTTACAATATTTTGTATAAAATGTAAAATATCACAGTAGTTTATAGATCCGTCTTAATATTAAGAAAAGTATTTGATTACAATGGGCATTAAAAACATTAAACTGTTTTATTGATGGCATTCCCTCTGTGTTTTTGGCAAAATCAAATTTCAAGTGTACAAATTTAGGTACAATATTGTAATTTTCTACTTTAAGGAAAATTTTTGCAGCTCTGAAAGGGATTCCAAAGAGGAATTTCTAACCCCTTTTACTTTTGCAAAACAGAATATTATGTTAACCAATATCTTGTCAGACATCATTAATTTCAGAAAAATGAAAAAAATATCACATCAAAACCATTCATGCCCAATAGTAGTGTTATATTCTGGACAAGTTTTCCAGACTTGCAGAAAGTCATCACAGATAAAAAATCAGAATGGTGCAAATAGAAGTTGTAAGCGTCCTGCGAACACAATGCCTGCTGTAAAGTGAAGTTCATTATTGATGAAATATATAACATATTTTACATTGTATTATAGTCATCATCCTAATCATACATTATACTATGGTAGTCAAATGAAGTATTGTTCTTAATATTCAATTGTATTGTTGCATGGAATTTATACTTTCATTTTCATATTTATCATGTTTTCAAATCATTTAAAGTTGCTAAGCAATATTATTTTTTTAGCGAAGTACTTGAAAAGTTTGCCTTTACCAAGAGTATAAAATTTATTAGGGTTCTCCCACAAAGTAACTTATAGTGCTTCCTAATTTTTTTTACCAAATTTTGCTATTTGTTTATCTTTTATATTCATATTTCCTTGCTATTTATTAAAAGTTTACACGTATGGTGCACAAAAACTGAAGGCTAACAATCAAAATGAAACATGGATTAGATCTTTTAACTGTCTAGGACTATGGCACAAATTAGAACATTGATTATTACCAGGAGCTGTAATCGGTTAATATTGTCATTGTGACAAGAAAGGCCAATCAAAGATCTTATCAAATACCTTACTACAAACCTCAGCCGTTTTAAGTTTTATTCTCTGTTTCAAACCATACTTAGAATTATTGCATGATACTTAACATAGCCTTTTGATCAAATCAAAAAGCCCAGCTTGTTTTTAGTTCTACTTATTATTTTGAAGTAAAGTTATATTGTATATATATATGTAAATATGACATAATGTACTAGATTATTGCTCTGTAATTATATCATTAGTTATTAGACAATAAATACATTACCCATTGTTAAACTAGTAACCAAATATCACTTTTAATATAATATATTGTAATTCCTGACGTTAGAAATAAATTGATATATTGGTATAACCAGTATTTTCAACAAAAAAACATGTTATTTTGAAAGTTCTTTTGCAAATTTTTTTTTAGATTTTTCAAAATTTAAAAATGGTTATAAACTTCTGAAAAATAAATAAAAATTTGAATGACTAAAATGAAATGAAATTCTCTCCAGTTGAGTGAGCATGGTCTATCTGATTTCTGATTTATAACAATGTGTGTTGATGTATATATTGTCTGTATTAAGTTGGGTCACAATAATATATTTAACCAACTAAATGTTAATAATTCATATAGTGCTGTATTATTATTTTATTTTTCATTTTTCATCTCTTTCTCTATTATTTTACATTCTTTATTCCTGTCAACATTGGACATGTAGTTGAAATAAATTTAATCCTTTCTGCTAATAAGAAAAAAGTCATTAGTATTTGAACAGCATTGAACTCTAGCATTGAATTATCAAAACCATATGATTTAAGTTCATATGCTGAACTTGTGTTGTCAAACTAAATTAAGTGCAATAATCTTTTGTATCATCACATATTTTATTAAAAATGTCCTAACCATATCATAACCATAGAAAATAATTTAGTGTTTTGATATAGGGTTATATTCTAGACCACTTGAAATTTGATTTTAACTACATGTCCATTGTAGTCTACCTGTCTCTTTTTACTTACAAATCTATCCACAAAATATATTTTGACAAAAGAGAATCAAAGTTTTAATTCCTTGGAGCTCAGGCTTGAATCATTAAAACAAAGAGTCTGAAGCTAAAAGCCTCCATGAGCAGGCACCGAATTAAACCTCCCAACTCGAACAGAGTTTTATGATTAAAAACTTCTTTGACTTTTATAAGGAAAAATGTTGAAAAAATGATTTTATTTATTTGTTTAAATTTCTTTATAAAACTCATATTAGAAACTCATCTTAACATACAATCAACAATTGAATTTCTTCCTGTGAATATCTCTTCATTTACTATCAAACTTGTGAAGTACAGAATTCTTCCATTTCCCTTGCTGTCTGCAGCAATACTAGTGTACAGATGCAGCATTGACCATACAAAAATTCATGACACAGCTGCTTTAGTTGAAATTATTCCAATCTGTTTTGCTACAGCTTAAAATGCCAAAAATGAAGAAGCATTATTTATCTCTGTTTAAACTTGATGTGCAGTTAAAGTTTCAGTTTTGTGAGATAGAAAATATGATTTATATATTAAATTTATTTCCTAATAAAACATAAAATTTTATCATCAATAGAATTTACTATTACTATATTGTTTTTCTGTATTTGCCAGTCAAAGCCATTTGAGATGAGAAAGAGGCAAAATGTATTTGGGATTCACCATTACCATAGAAAGTAGTTAATATAATTTTAGTATTTATCCAATCAAATATATGTCCTGTTGTATCCAGAGGTTGAAAATATAAAACTGGAATGATTTGCGATATAGTAAGTCCAATGGTCACAACAACCACTTTTTATATCATTAATCATATTTCTGGGTTGTGAATATCACTGATTAGCCTATCTAGAAGCGAAACTACCGTCTAAGTTGGGCTTAAAGAGTAGCCTAGTAAAACGCATGTGTAAATAAGCCAACCATATGATATTTTGTATTTCCAAATGCCATCTCACTTCTGGAAAATATAGAAATTTTCCAATTTGATTGCCATTACTTATTACCCTAGATTGATGTAGATCTGACACTAAAGCAGATACTTAAACATCAAAATTGTACTCCTGAAGGAGTAAGAAAATCACAGTTACTTTGAACCGTGAAGAAAGTGTCGATATTAAGGGAGTTACTGTGGTATATTTCTCAAGCTCTTATTTGCTACTGAATTCAAGTCATCTGTAAGAATGTCTCTTATGGGATGGGTTTTGATCAATGGAATTGGTCAGTGTCCATGACACCCACACAACAGTTGAATTGATGGAAGAAGGTTCGCCTTAATGTGATGATTGCCTCTATTTAACATCGTTTCAATATTCTTTATATAATATTTATTTTATTAACCTCAAGTGTATGTAATTATTGTATCCAACACAAGATTTAACCAATCGCTGGCTGTCTTTTATCATCATTCTAAAAATAGCCAGCATTCCTCAACACCCAGTCTTTACAGTGTGAGGGAAATCCTCAAGAACGACATGACGTTAGTTTTTGTTAATGACTAGCTTTTCGATATTGGAGTATAAAAGGGGGCGATATTGAGAATAACTCCCTATAAGAAGACGTCATAGATCACGCTGTTTGGTATACAAGCGGTTTATATTTATACTCGAACTGGACCGTTATACACACTGATTACGGCCACGGAAGTTTACTTTAGATTTTTATCCAGAGAAGTTAACACGTGAAATTATTGTGGACAGTTTCTAAATACGCTATGGGGGCTTGCATAAGCCGACGATTATCGGATTATTTGGTATATGTAAGAACTGGAGATAGGAGACATGCTGGCACCGATGCCAATGTCTTGATTATTTTACATGATGATGTTGGCAATTCTACAGACAAAATTCGTTTGGATAACTTTTTGAGAAATGATTTTGAGAGAGGTAAATTAGACGTTTTTCACATTCCACGGTCCAAATTACGGCCATTGGGCAAGGTTGTGAAAATTGAGTTTTGGAGAGATGATTGCGGAATTGACAGTAGTTGGTATGTTGAAAGAATTCTGGTTGAAAACCGAATAACAAATGATATGTTTGTGTTCCCAATATTTCGATGGATTAAATCTGGACATCATTATATGATCAAACATTTGGACACTTCTCTTCCCCAAGATGACGAATATTCAGACCAGAGGAAGATGGAATTGGACGATAAACGAAAGTTATATGTATATGCTCAAAAGGCACCAGGAATGCCAGTTCAGGTGAGAATTGATTCTATTTTGGTTCAGCTGATATGTATATATAACAGATATATCTTATTGTTGAGAATGTTGGTTTCAAGGGTATCACTGAACGTGCTTTTGGGCATCATGGTTCCATGAGGTGGTACTCTGTAATAGTTAAGAAATGAGGATTGTACTGAAATAAAGGGAAATTGGGGATTGGTAAGAGTACCGGTATATAAAAATGTAGTTCGTGGGGAATTCGTCAAAATGGCACTGATAGTAAATTTTTATAAAGTTTTATTACAGAAGATTGTCCATTATCACAAATCTCCGTTTTACAATTTGTAGTGATTGATACTACTTATCACAATTGTTAAGTCTTTTAAGCCTTTTTAAAAATTCAAAGTTGCTATCATTTGCAATGTACAGAGGTTAGTGACCAAAAGCTTCTACTTGGGTAGATCTCTATTTGTGGAATAAGTCTCTAATCATGTAACAAACTTAGACACTGGGTAAAATTGAACATTGAGAAGGAATTTTTTTATTGATACAAAGTTATTCATGTTATACTGTAGTCAGTGAAAATGAAAAAAAAGATTAAATGAGACTGAGACGGATCTGAAAATGAGTCAGTTGTTGAATGAAACACTGATAAAATTTGGCACTGTCACTGAAATGTGTTTGCTATATAAATATTAAAGTGGATTGGTAACAGGGTTGAATTTTCCCAGCTGATACATAGCAAGAGTAAATGTTAAATATTAATATTCTTAGTTATAATCTTAGAATATGGCCAGATTCTATAACTGTGCAATACTACTTAAAGAGATGTTGTCATTTAAATCACGATTTTAGGTTGAATTTATTTCTGCTGAACACACTTCTGAATATAAAACCTGGTTTTCCACCCATTGACTCTTATATTATAATGGTTTCACTTAAAATTACACCAAAATAAGAAGAAGATGTTATCAGGATTATATTTAAGATTGTCAGACATTGTTCATTAAATGTCTTACATCCCTTTAATATACTTAGACCTCAGGAAACCAGAATGAAGATGTAGTAATTAAGTAATTTTTAAGTCAGTTAAATTATTAACATCCTTGAGGAAGATTGATATAGATAAGAAGTTCATATTTTTCTCAGGGATGTAGGAAGATGAGTCAAATCATGAGAATCTACACATCGGGAAGCAGGATAAATTTTTTATCTTTCCCCACCCATTGGAAAATTTTGACCGAAATTAAAACTCCTACTGATTTGAAGTTGTAAAGTTGATAAGACAATGTTCAACAAGCTGATAATTAATAAAAAGGATAGTCATTTGAAACATAATTAATTAATGATAACTGTTGATTTGTTTCACAAGTTTTTCATCATTGAAGGAATATTGAATGCTCATCTTGAAGATTAGAAATTTGAGGCATAGGCTGGGGGTGTTTTGGGGTGTTTGTCCAGACTCCAAAAGCCATTTGACTAACACTGGAAAATATGACACCCTTTCACACTTTTCACATACAAAGAATTGACTATTAAGCTTACAAACATTGTAGGTTCAGAAAGATCATGTAGTCAGTCAAAGAAAATGAAATAGATACAAAGTGTTCTGCTCTGATTAAGGAGTCAAGCCATAATTTAATAAGATATTCAGATCTTTATCCATAAAAGTACACATTTATCTCAAATATCATAAAAAATGACCCCATCATTATTCATTCATTAGATTTTAAATTGACTTAACTCATGTGGAATATGAGATCTGTCTTACTATTTATCACCTCAAAATTGAGGTATTTTGAAAGGATTCAGGTATGATACAAGACTGTTAATTAGCTATCTCCCTGATACTCTGTCACTCTGACCAGTAAATTCTATGACACAAACCCTATACATTTATCTTGTTTTAAAGATGAAATTGTAGGTATTCTGTTAAAAAAAATATCTTATGTAACTTTCAGATTAAAGTTGATTTGAAAATAAGTGGATATCTTGCCTCTCACCAGTTATGAAATGGATATTAAGCCTACACATTGATTGACTTAGATCTTAACATGTAGGTGTTAAAATTAAGTAATTCACCTTTGAGAATTAATTAGATTTTGATTAGTTTTCAAGTTGATTTCTGATCTAAAGTGCGTTTACTCGCTAACAAGATGTATGTTTGTTACATCAAATATTTTGCTCCTATCCAATCTCAGTTATATATTAGTTCAGCCATAAATGTGAGGAGTAGTTTTCTTGCAGATTTCAGTTTGAACTAACATATCAATCTATATTTAAGAGTAAATAGAAGTATCCCAGTTCAATTTACATAATATAGGGGACTCTATTAGGGCCAACATCTGATAAGACAGGAAATAGTTGACATTTATACAGTCCTTGAAATCTAAAGTTAAACAGCAGGTTGATCTCCTAAAATTTTTAGGTCATAAACATTATATTACAATTTATATCTCAGACATGGTATGTCTTGAAGCCATTGAATATACAGAACCATTAAGTTTTTATTGTCCTATGTTCCAAACCACTGGAATAGTTTAGTAAGCCTATTGATATCTGCAAGGCAATTGCATGCCATGGTGACAATTATTTTGGAGATTTTGGAGGTATAGTTTTCGTTGTTAGTCTATTGCCTGAAAGTTTAGATGAAGTAACTGATAATTCCTGATCCCAGAGTAAGAAATTGTATTGTAAAATCCTTTACTTTTTTTTTTTGCACGTCAAATTTTGGTGAATTCTTATCGATGACAAAGTATTCTTATATAAGCTTAGTGACATAAATTTGCCAATAAAAACTACCAACAAAAACTAATAGTTTCAAAAGCGTTCAGTGTAAAAATGTTATTTTGGCTCTGTGACCGGAGGAAAAGTAAGTTTTCAATAATTCATCCTGGTAACACGTCTTCAATCATTGTCTCTTTTAAACAATAAGCTAGTTGTTTAAGGCAGTCAAGTTATATTAGACACAACATTCACATTTTATTCACCTTATGTCTCTTAAACAATAACAGCATAGAATGGAATTTTATATGCAGTTCTCTTGATTAAAGTTTTCTATTGTCTGAGGGAGGTTTCAAAAAGTTTCCTATTACATCTTGCAAGTTACGGTATGTATTCTTGATAAGAACACCACAAAAATAACAAATTGTGAAGAAACGTTTCGAATAGAATAGTAAAAGCATGTTATGTTTTCTCAAAAAAATCACAACAGAAGATAGTTTGTTTCTCAGTAAGATTAAGATTAAGATTATTGAACTTAGTAAATCACTCATTACTGCTCTAATTTGAGCAATGGCACTTTACAAGCACAGATATAATTATCTACATTAATCAGTATCTATAGACACACACAGGTCTTATTAGGTAAAGGTTCTTTCAAAAGGGTGATTTCCACAGATTTACAGGGTTTTAACTGTTTAGGTAACTTGTTCCATAATCCTGGTCAGTTGACATTAAATATAACATGGACACTTGTTCTAGAATTGATTGTCATTGACATATTTAATATCTTTATATGGAAGATCTTTTGTTATGTTGAATTGGTCGGTTCATTGGTTTTGTATCTAGGATTATTGACTTTATATAAATTGATAATAGAATAAATAGAAGAATAGTTGATGGATATCTCAAGTGTCCTGTTCTTATTGACCTCACTGGTCAACATAATTTACCTTTCCAACACCTTTATAATGCATACAGAGTTATTTTGCTTTTCATTGTTGGATATGGAGCTAGATAAGTCACTTATTCATTTCAAAACGAATAAAAAAGAATGACACTTAGTTTTTGTAAATCTGTCTGATTTTCCAACCAGAAATTTTTCTATATCAAGTAGATATGCCTGAACAACCTTATTTTGAAGTAGTTTGCCTACCCTTTTTCAATTTCCAACTGTCATTATACTGGTACTTTGTTTATCTGTTTTATTTTGTTTATTGGAAAATCACTATTACATTTTGATGTTGCCGTCATATTTATATATCAAAATTTTAATCTTCGGCTAAAAGGTGAATGATGAAGACACAATGAACAATAGACCACTCGATGCAATTTGCATTATGATAGAGACTACCTGTAGATAATGTCTACAGCTGAACAAAAGATATATTGTCCAGTCACAAGTCACTTGTTGCTTCACATTTAAGTGTTCACCTTATTGGCAAGATATCTGTCAAAATAATGAACTATATGTGAGGTAAATTTTCTCTTCCAATTTCTGAATTGAAGGTGATTGTAGTAGAAAATCTCACTTGGTGAGAGCTTGGTGTCGAATCTGGAAATTACTGTCAATGGAGTCATAAATATTATCTCCTGTTGATTCAAACCTGCGTGTAATTACTCATAAGGTAACAATCAAAGTCAATATCCAACAGAAATCAAGCCACAAATGACCACCTTGCCATTCCCAAACCTTTATCAAGTATGTTAGAGCTCAAACTAAGCAAACATAAGAAACTCAGGTTAATATCCTTCAGTGAGTTCAGTGGGTGATGGCAGCATGAGGTCTATCAATTTGAATTGAAAATTGTACCATGCTTATGTAAGAAGGAAATTAAATTTGATATAAATTATGAAACTAGTGATGAAATATGTCAGTAGTGTTATCTTACAGGAAGAGTTGTTCTGATCTTGACCTAAATCATCATAGGCTGGCCTCAATTAACAATTATTGTCATGTATAGATTTGACTTTTTATGCACTGAGATGTACCAGGACATGAAGTTATTCACTTTTTGCTGCTTTTCTTCATGGTTTGCCAAATGAGCTTCCTGTTGGCAATATTCAGACATGATTTTATAAATTTCATGGACAGTAAAAGGCACTCAATTTGTACCAACATGGAATTTTCAATAGGAATTGGATGATTTAACTAGTTACCGGTATACAATCTCTTGCTTTCAGTTTCTTATCATGACCATGGGTAGAAATGATGTAACATAATATGTATGAGTGATTTTGGCAGGTGTGATGTATACAGAATGATGTTAATGTATGTTGAATAGTTTATGTTATTTATTATTGAGTCTAGCTGT